ATCCTTTAAGCCTAATCTACGGTCTCATATTGGTAGAGGCAATTGGCCTCTACCTCAGGCCAGAAGGCATTCTAAATGCCTTAAAACAATATAATTTTAAGGCCGGGTGTGGTGGTTCATAACTATAATCCTAGCACTCTAGGAGGTTGAGACAGGTGGACTGCTTGAGTTCAGGAGATTAAAACCAGCCTGAGCAAGAGCAAGACCCTATTTCTAATAAATATAGAAAAACTAGCCAGGTGTTATAGCAGGTGCCTGTAGTGCCAGCAACTCAGGAGGCTGAGGCAGGCAGGGGGATCACATGAGTTTGCTGTCAGCTTTGACACCATAATATGCTACCCAGGGCAACAGAATGAGAATCTGTCTCAAAAAAAAAATTTTTTTTAAGCCGTTCATTTATAACATAGTAATAAAATAGTTTCACAGTTTTACTATTTTATGGCCATTGAAGTCTATCTATGCACCTAGTGCAGTTATTTAAACCTTCCTACAGCATGCTCTAAGAATACCAACAAAAGAAAACAAAAAACCATGAATGCCCAAGTCCACATGCCAATCAGTGAGCATCAGGTTTCCACAGAACATGTTCCTCCCACCTCTGAAGAACAGCTTCATCACGAGCTGTGAGACCCCAACAAAAGCCCGTACCCAGCTCTCAGGAAGTGCCCAGCACACATGTTGGCTCACTGCCAATTTCAGAAGTGTGTATGATTATTTCCCCCATTTTGCAAGTAAGAATGGAGGCACAGAATGCTGGTGACTTGCCCCAGTGTTTAACCCTGAACATGGTCCATAGGTGGGTCACAGAAGTGACACATGCCCACCTTCCCAGGCAGCAGACACCCAACAATCACCCCAACCTCAAGGACTCGGAAAGCACCCGGCCGGCATTACAGTCTGTTGCCCATCTCATTCCCTTATCTCACTTTGAGGCAGATGAAGCTCCTGAGATATAAAACTCTGGCACATGGGTAGTTTCCCAAATACATCCCCATGATGAAAGGGAGGAAGCAGCACTGAGTCTCCGAGGATGGGACCTGAGCATGTTTTAGCTCTGCCACACAGGTGGTGCGGGAGCTGGAGCAAGGAGCTCCAGCTCTCTAAGCTTCAACTGTGCAACCTGTAAAATGAAGGGATGGCCTCTCTGTGGTTTTCTGACACTTTCAGGAGCACAGAACCCTCTCTGAATGGAGAAGGCTGATATGCTGAAACAGGAAACCAGGTGCTCTAGCTGCAGGCACCCTGGGGAGGCAGCCAGGTCTCGACCTCTCCCCCGGGCGCTGGGAGAGGAGTGGGACTCAGGGCATGTCATGCAGAGAACACAGTGAGCAGACACACTGGAGTGAAGAGGAAGGGATAGGGTGCTCAGAACATGAGGCTCGCAGAGTGAGACCACAGGGAAGCAGCAGACTAAAGTCAGACTGAGAACCTAAATGTCAGCTGCCCTTGCTGGCTGAGGCTGCCAGTGCTGCTGCTGATGCAGGGTGAGGACATAGAGCAGTCTGCAGAGGAGAGGACAGGAGAAGATAGCAGATGTGGGTGGATGAGACCAGAGCAGGACCAGAAGGGTGAGCATGTGGCCACAGCCAGGAGGGGACAGTTGGGGACAATCACATTGACCACCCTCATAAGGCTGGTCATCTGAAGCCTGGGTGCCTCTGCCACACCCTACTCAGTTCCAGTATAAACCTATGCCTGAAGTCCTAAAAACACACAGAAAATTAATTTATTTGTCATACTGAATTCAACCATAAAGGTACAGAAGAGAAATCAGTTAAGGAAAGGAGGCCACTTTCTAAAATAGTGTGCCCTTGG